CTCGTTTGAAAGGCACATACACGTTCTTGAACGCTAGTTGAACCTAGGCGAAAAGCGACTTCATCAGAAAACGCAATCTGATGTAGCGCAAGAGGTTCTTCGGTAATGTTGTCGCCAGCGTTAAATTACGCACAGCGCACTCGAAAAACAGTAGAACTAGCGGACCGCAGTTGGTGATGTCTTTTTGTTTCATGCGGTGCTCACGTCTTGATATCATTGCCTCCGTCGTGTCGGAAAACAGATCCTTGACAATATTTTCACACTCGACATATTGATCCTCCTTTTGCATCGGGTCGAAGAAGGTAAGCGTCTGTGATTTAATGTCAAAAACAACTCCACACCAATGATTGTTGTTGAGATGGATAGGGAGTAGTACATACTCGTTGCTTGCGTGAAATGGCTGAGTTGCGGCAATTATCGTGTACTGTGACTCCACGTTAACCGTTCCACAGAATGCGGGTGAAATTATTCCTGTTGTGCCATGCTCTTCTTGAATTGTTGTCATTGCATGCAGCAGACAGTCATCATTTATCTATTCCTCATCACAAAAAAGCAAAAGAGATCGTTTGAGAACCTTACCAAATGGCGTCTGCCTCGTCAGCGGTAGTATCATCTTCTGTATGGCAATCGCTGCGGCCTCTTTGTCAAGGTCAACGTACTCACGAAGTCCGGCGGGTATTGCGAGACGATTCAGCGATGTGGCTCTTATCCATTCCGCTGTGGCACCAACAGACGCAAAGATTTGCATTGTCGTGTAGCAGTCATGCATGATCCCGAACTGCTCTTCACTGAAAATCCCGACTTTTGCCACACGAATACCAATATGTTGATCCGAGTTTGGTAGTGACTTCTTGTACTCATCCAGCAGCCGCCGGCACTTTGCAACGAATTGATCCGTAAAAATGAACTTAATATCGCTGGAGCACTCATGTGGGGCAACAACCTTGGCCATCGCTTGTTTCCTTGGACCTAAAACTTTCACGGTTACGCTTGACAGAAACTCGTTTGCTGATTCGTAGCTGAAGCTTGAGAAAAGGACTCGTGCTACATTCTTGAGCGTTGCGACAGGTGTTAGTGTTCCTTGAACAAGTTGCTTGGCTTCTTTACGAGACTCCACCATCCGTTGTCGTTTCTCCTTCTGCTTCTGAGCTTTCCGAATTTTTGGACGACCTCTGCTCTTCGTACTTTTTGAGACGAAGAATGACGTTTCCTCACTAGAGCTTGAGCCACTACTGTTTGCTCTCTTCTGCGGTAATGTTGGTGAATTGGTTGTCCAGAAGGCACACTGTCCGAGTGACTTTGTCCTGAAGGCACACTGTCCGAGTGACTTTGCTCGAATCGTTGCAACGCTTCTATCATTTTCTTGAAGATAGGTGTGCCGTTGCGGCTCATAATGTCAGCTATACGCGTGGCAGTCTCGTGTGATGTACGAAATTTACTCGTGCCATTGAGCTTTTTGTGTCGGGATGCCTTCAATGCGGAGCTGCTCACTCGAAAAGAACTGCTAACATTTTCTTCACTGACAGGCTCATCGTCAACAGGAACATTCGCTGGGCTAGTCAGACTCCACCTAGAGTGTATATGCTTCAGCGGAATGGGACTTTTGTTGGAAAGTAATCGCCAGTAGATGACATGGCGACAAGGTAACAGCTCAGTTCGCATAAATGCACACGAGCAGCGATTAGGTCTAAGCACAGCATAACATGATGATAAGTTCACAGGAATTTAAAGATGATCACAATTAACCCAATGTACTCTAGTGTCGACGTGATACTTGCGGTCTGGATCTCCTGCTGAAGACAGTTGAAACACTTGGTCTTGTAGCTCGATAATATTGTAGTGTGTTTTACGATCATTCGCAACCCGATACTGCTTCTCCACGAGCTGGTAGGCATGTTGACTCACTTCCTTCGCCAGCTTCTCCAATTCAGCATCAGCGCCACCATAACGCATATATCCAACATCCGTCATCTTCTTTGCGTACTCAAGTTCAGCTATCGACTGCAAAAACATTAGCGTATCTACACACTCGTCCAGCATCATTGTTGGCTTCAACACATCCTTTAAATGACCCCATGCTGCTTCAAGGCGATTGTTGGTTGTGTTTCCTAAATGCGGGACGTCAACACGCCCAAAGCCACTCCACATTTCTCTGCACTGGTGCCAATTCGAGTCAAAGTTTTGTAAGAATGCGTGCTCCGGCTCCGGTACTTCTTCATCTTTCAAAATTTGTTTCCCTTCCACGATGTAGTACAAATACTTTCGACCAATTGCATACTCGCCTTCCGTTTGCGCACTTAGCATCATATGAACAGCATCTTCGATCTCTTCACGATCAAGAAGTCCGTACACATGTTTGCCATCTCGGTCCGTAAATACTTAACAACGTGGAATACACAAAGGAGAATTCGCGCAGCCGGAAAAGCAGATTGCAGTAACGAAATTTCTCCGAAGTCCTTATCGACGATGATTACACGGACGTCATCCCACGTCGCGTTAAATGACTTGAAAGATGTGATCGCATCGGAAAGACACTCTGCACTCTCGTTCTCCATAAGGGCATGCTGCACGTATTGGCCCTGTGTGCCTAAGTCACACAAAAACCACAAAGTCACAAAATGCCACATCGCCACACCAAAACCACAAAATGCCACAACGCGACCACGTAAATCACAAAACACCACAATGCCGCAGTAAATCGCCACAAAAGTCACACATTTGTCAACAAGCCACAATAGTCACAAGTAGTCACCGTGCAAACAAACACAACGAACAACATTAGACGGTCAGACACGTGAAAGATAGATGAAGCGCTCTTACATGGCCAAAAACGTCGTGAATCATGAAACTGAAAAGCTTGTATCTGGCGTCGTTAGTGTTGTGAGTCGCGTCGATCATCAAAACCTCAGGAAAAGCTTCGAAATAGCGCCGCATTTGATGAGTCTGGAAAGTAATTACTTGAGCCAACTTGTCATCATCCACGTAGATGGTAGCCGTGTTTCCTTTTCGCAAGCAGAAGTCTCTAAGGCTGGACTCTAACCTTGCTTCAACAGTAGTAGATCCTCGGCGTTGTTCCTTAAGCTTCTGCACCATGTTGTGCACGTCACGTAGGGTTACCTGCTTGCCTGCCAGATGAAACAGATTAGTTCAGCAATATTATAGCAATAAAAAACAGCAAATGATAGTACTAGTACCTGAGCGACGCCGCAAAAATGCAAGTATCAACTTCTTTTTTGCTCCAGCAGCTTGTAGCTCGTCGACAAAATCAAGCATCTCTTCATCATCTATACGTCGATTGGCAGGGTGGTTGTTATACTTGTCTGGTCCGAGGCCGTGGTTGTGCGTCGTGTTCTGCTGGGTTATCTTCACTTGAAAACCATGATCTCCTGACCACACCACTGTAACCGAGATCTGAGCCTCGCACCCCGTCGACTTGACAAAGTAGTTGGAGCGCTTGCCAGTAGACCGACTGGGCCGACTCCAGCCATGCGTGCAACAAAGTCGCCGGTAGTATTTGTCGAACGAATCAGGAATTCTTGTCGTCTCTGTCAGCTTGCCTCGCTTCGCTAATTCAGCATTCCTAGATGCAGCACTTGTAGAGGTACGCTTACGGAACACTTGGTGGGTCTGCTCTTGGTACTGCTCCAACGCCAAAAAAAATGCACCCCACGTTGTGTAACAGCGCTGCTCTAACGGGGGAGCTCACGTAGACGTATTCCGCGATTCCGGGACGTGTATCTCCGGAGAGCGTGCCTCGGCAGACTCACTCTCGCCGTCCGATCCCGAGCCAGTCGACGCGACGCTCGCCATTTTGTCGAATTTTCTGTTTCGAAATGAACGGCGCGAAATCGTCGGGGGCGAATGAAAGGGGGGAGAGGAGGTGACACGGAGGAGGGGGGAGCTGGAAGGAAGGGGTCTTTTTCTATTTTCCTGTTTGTCGGAATTTTTGTTTCTCGGGATTTTATTTTAATTTACCGGACTCGAAGTGGATCCCATTGTGTGACTTTATCCACTTCCTTTAATTAAAGCACTAAAAAACTTGCTGTAAGATTTAAGGATTCATCAAGTTGTGGATCCCCGCTTACAAGTGCGCTCTATAAAATGTATACGTATTGGGTGCGAATTTCAGTCGGGCTGAGTCAAAGCCACTTGACGCATATGTGAGTATAGAAATTCGTTCAATCTTGGCAGCCGACCCAATTCGTTTGCCTTCTAACGTGGTGATCATCATGACCTGCAGGCAAGTTGCAGGTGAGATGAAGGCAAAGTCTGCAAGTTCGGAAATGGTCTGGCTACCCTCGTTTTTTTTCTTTCTTGCTACATGTTTTACCGATTCTTCTTACCTTCATTACCGGTTTATGCACGGACTGACCTATTTGGGCTGTGATATCTAGCTGCTTCTATTAATAAATCTTGACTGTTCTTCAGTATGTGAGCTGAGCGGCCCGGAGCAAGTACCGGTACGGCAATGTCGCCCAGTCCAGCACCATGGCGAAAGCTTAAGCTTTTCAACCGACTTTTACTTTACGAGGATGCTATTATAACAGAGGTTAAAAGACTACTGTACCTTACTAATAAAAATACGGTACCTGTATTAATACTACATGTAGTATTAACATTAAAGAACTCCGAAGCTCGCAGTCAAAACGAGTATATCGATTGCTTAGCAATCCTCGGACCTAGTGTGTTAAAGTCATGGATCTTGACCGATACATCGACAAGACCGAATCGAGTAGACATAGCGACGGGCTTGATATCTTCAGGATTGCTCACATGTGTTGCATGTTTATCGCCGTATATATGCACAAACTCTAAATAACTGATCTCAGTATTGCCGAAAATTGAAGCGACTAAAACATGCCTCACACAGTATTCAAAACTGCATGGCGTTGCTCACAAAAACACGCGATTTCTTTGCATGTCAATTTGAAGTCTCAATTGTGATCATTCTCATTTTTGCTGAGTCCCGAGCAAGTCACGTCCAAATTCAATTTAAAACGATGAAGATCGCCTTCTTCTCCACGCACAGCTACGACATTGAGTCGATGGAGCGTATCGCCAAGGAGGACGGTGTGACCCCCACGCACGAGATTACCTTCCTGGTGCCGCGTCTGGACCACACGTCTGCTAAGTTGGTCGAGGGCTGCGAAGGTGTCTGTATCTTCGTCAACGACATCGCTGATGAGGAGTCTCTGCGCGCCTTGCATGCCGGTGGCATTCGTGCTGTATTCCTACGCTGCGCCGGCTTCGACATGATTGACCTCAAGGTCGCCAAGGAGCTCGGTATGGCTGTGACCCGCGTGCCGGCCTACTCACCCTACGCTGTTGCTGAGCATGCCGCCGCCTTGATGATGACACTGAGCCGTAAGATCCACCGCTCTTACAGCCGTACGCGCGAGCAGAACTTCCGTCTCGCTGGCTTGCTGAGCTTTGACATCAATGGCAAGACCATCGGCGTTGTCGGTACGGGCAAAATCGGAGCTTTGTTCGCTCGCATCGCTGCAGGCTTCGGCGCCAAGGTGCTTGCTTACGATGTGGTGCAGAGCCCCGAAGCTCTAAGCTACGGCGTCGAGTACGTCGGCCAAGACGGGATCTGGGCTCGTGCCGATATCATCTCATTGCACGCTCCTCTCTTTCCTAGCACCAAACACATGATCAACGCCGACAGCATTGCCAAGATGAAACAGGGCGTAACGATCATCAACACCAGTCGTGGTGGCCTTATTGACACCAAGGCGCTGGTGGAAGGACTTAAGAGCGGAAAGGTCCGCGGTGTCGGCCTGGATGTGTTCGAAGGTGAGGGCGAGTATTTCTACTCGGACTGCTCTGGCGGTATCATCGCCGATGAGACTCTCGCTCGTCTCTTCACGTTCCCCAACGTGATCATCACTGGCCACCAGGCTTTCTTCACCAAGGAGGCCTTGGACAACATCGGCCACACCACCATGAACAACATCAAGGCATACGCGGCCAAAAAGGAGTTAGTAAACGAGGTCAAGTAAAGTACAGCCTCGCCTCGGAGTCGACTGTGAGCCTTGTGAAGGCCATTGGAGCCTCCTTGTTTTAAAATATCAAAGTGCACTTCTGAGTTTGTTTTTGTATTAAATGCTGAGCATAGCTTCAGCTAGAGCGTCTCCAAGCGCCACAAGTTTTGCTACAGCAGTGCACATTGGTACTAAGACGCACATGGTGTAGGGTCAAAGCCTGAAATACGGTGCGTGTGGCTAAAAAACTCTCTCACGAGCTCTCCGCTCTTGAGGGGCGCGGATGGTATTCGAGTGCACGTTGAGGGGTTTTCGAGTGCAGACATTTTTGCCACGAAATGGCGGAATGCCGAGTGCAGATAACACATGGCGATATCGTCGGCTCTATACTTGTCTTGTCCGGTCCATGCTTGTTTGAATTTACTACAATGTCCTTGGGGCCGGATGCAGAGCTCACCAGGATGTAAGAGGAGAAAAATACATGTATTTGTGAGAAGAAAACATGAATGAGCCTTAAATCCTGGTTCACTTCCTACACAAGGTACGCTGAGCTCCGCTAGTCCAGATCGTCTAAGCTGTCCAAGTCCTGATCGTCGTCGGCGTCACAATCGACACTGCGGGGATGCGATTCGTGTGGGCTTGCGTGGGCGGCAGCACTCTTACGGCGAGCGTTGAATTTGCTCTTATCGTGTTGACGGAGAAGCGCTTGAACGAAAGGAACTCTTACACTGTGGACTGGCGTAGCTGGCGAGCGAAGTTGACGATGGAAGCACACTAACCCTAGCTCGTGGATCGCTTTGTAGACGAATGTCACGAAAGTAGCGAGGAAGCGTAGGAGCGTAGACGGCGAGTACGGCGCCGTAGACAGTTGTAGGGGAGGAGAGGAGTTGCTGCTCGAAAGCAAATTGAGAAGTGATTAATCAGTTAGAGTTGGCGGCTGCAAGCTAGTAGCTGCCGCACAACCAGTAGTTCTTGACAACCGGATATTCACGCATGTATCCAGGTCCATCCTAAAACCTATCTTTCTCAAATCCTGATTTCCTCTGTAACTACCAGTGAAAGCCTATGAATCCTAATTCTTATCTTGGTCGGAAATTTCGCACAGCGTCCCATAATCACAATTTCCGGCTGGAAGCTTGATTGTTGCAAATCCATGGGATTTTGGACCAATACGAATGTAGTATGATGTAAAGACACGCAATCTTAAGTTTACGCTGATCAGAATAATCTGACCAGCTGAACTCAAATAATTGACGTGGCTGGTCACTGCCATGCCATTGGCTAGTGACCACCACGTCACATGACCTCCCTTCGAAGAAGAGCCTCTCCTAGAGAAAAGGGTTCTCTTTCTTCTTTGACTTCCAGTAGAGGTCAATGAGTCCGGGAATTTGCGTTAGATTCTCTACGGGCTCCCAAGTGGCTTCCTTCTTGGTTTCACCAAGCCACCAGATCTTGTATTGCGGTTCTCCCTTGTACTTGCGATGTCCAATGACGGCTTCAACGAGTTGGCCCTCGGTACCATCGGCTAACACAACCTTATTCGCCTTTCGCCTCCGCTTGTGGTCTTTGCGGTACGGCTTCAATAGTGACGTATGAAACACCGGATGCAGCTTCAATCCTTGCGAAAGTCCTAACTCATACGAGTTTCGAGACACCTTCTTTAGTATCGGGAAAGGTCCAATAAATCTTGGAGCTAACTTCTTCGACTGTGCAAAACCCTTGTGGCGGATGTCCATGTTCTTTCCGTCAAGTAGCACCATATCACCCGTTTCGAAGTCTTGGACAAGTCTGTTCCTGTCGTAATAGTGTTTCATGCGTTCTTGGGCTTCACTCATACGGTCTTGTGCTACCTTGAGGAAGACTTCTTGCCGGAGTAAGAACTCTTTTGCTGCTTTCTCCAACTTGTTGAATTCCGGATCTAACGAAACCTCGTCGGGCATGTACGGAATATACCAAAGATCCGCTTCAAACGGTGCCATTCCGATCGTCGAATGCACACGTCGATTGTAGGCAAACTCTGCCATATGAAGAAACTCATCCCAATCGTTCTGGGCTGGGTTCACGACTCCACGAGGATAATCCCCGATAAAACGGTTCGTACGTTCCGTTTGTCCATCCGTCTGTGGTCTAAATGCCGATGACAGGTTATGCTGCGTTTACATAGCAGATATAACAGCCTGCCAAAACTTGGACGTAAATTTGAAGTCACGATCAGACACAATCGTCTTCGGAAGGCCATGATCTTTTACATAGTTCTTCATGAAGACATGCGCGGTATCTTCTGCGCTATCTGTCGTCTGCGTTGCAATGAACTTTGCACGCTTGGTCAATCGATCCACGATGACCATGATGGCATTACAACCATCCTTGCTGGGAGGTAAGGACACAATGAAATCCATCGAAATGTCGATCCATCTACCTCTTGGTACTTCCAGCGGTTGAAGTAATCCCGGCGGTTTCACTTGTCTCGCCTTGTTGCGCTGACACATTTCACAAGTGTTGCAATAACGCTGGATATACTTCATCATCTTCGGCCAATAATACTTCTCTCGTACTGCGACGTAAGTCTTGTACGATCCAGGATGGCCTGCCGTTACGGCATCGTGGTTCTCGCAAATGACACGGTTTCTCAGATCTTCGTCATCCGGAATATACAGTCGCGGACTTTCATCTTCACAGGTCTGGTAGTATAAAACACCATCACTGAGCGAGTAATGCGGAGCGTTGTCTCCAAGCTTAAGCTGCTTGACAATTCCCTGCAAGTCCTTGTTCCACGAATACATCTTCTTTGCGGACTGTGCCACAGTCACGTTGTTCGCTACCATGGTTGCCACAATCTCACGGTTTTGAGCCGTATCAAGAAGTATCTGAAGGCTTACTTGCGCAGCCTTATGCTCGAACTCAGGGTTTCTTGATAATGCGTCTGCGACTACATTTGTTTCTCCTGGGATCTACTTGAACATGGGTCGAAACTCCGCAAGTTCATTGAACCACCGCGCAATGCGTCTATTCGCTGTCTTCTGCGTAAGAATTATCTCGATGCTCTTATGATCGGTTTCGACAAGAAAGGTCTTGTCTAGCAGTATACACGCCATACCTTCAGAGCATGCATGATTGCGAGAAGCTCTTGTTCGCGTACTGGGTAGCTCAGCTCTGCAGGTTTCATCTTCCGGCCAGTAAAGGCAATTGGATGTTCCAACTCTCCCTCCTTTTGAAATAAGACTCCCCCCATTGCGAAATTTGAGGCGTCCGTTCGAATACCGAAAGGCTTGGTGACATCAGGAAGACGGAGAACCGGTGGTGATGACAAGCGTTTCTTTAGCTCATCAAAACACCGCAGCTGGTCCTCATTGAGTTCGATCGCATCTCTAGAGCGTTTTCCCTTGATACATTCGTGCAAAGGACCTGCAAACTGAGCGAAATCCTTGCAAAATCGAGAAACGTAGACAGTTGTCCCTAGAAAGCTTTCCATTTGCTTCTTTGTCTTGGGAACAGGTCAATCTGTGATAATCTTCACCTTATCGGGGTCCATTCGAACGCCCTTGCGTCCGACAAAGTCACCTAAACATGGGATTTCGTCGACACAAAATTGGCACTGGGACAGCTTGATGTATAGCTTCTGCTCTTCACATCTCCCCAAAACCCTGTCCAACGCGGCAATATGCTCGTCGACATCTTCACTCTTGGTGTACACGTAAATGTCGTCGAAGTAGATCCGCATCACGTCACGTAAATCCCTAAAAACCTTCTGTAACAACCTGTTAAAGGTTCCCGGGCTACCGCTGAGTCCCATGGGCGTGACGAGATATTCAAAAAGACCGTCTAGAGTCGAAAAAGCAGTAAAAGGTATATCTGATTCACGTAGCTTAGCTTGGTAGTAACCCCAGAGTAAGTCCATGCACGAGTGCCAATAGCTGCCGGCCATCGCATCAAAGGTGTCTTCTTTGCGAGGCATCGGAATAGCCGGTAGAACCGTAGCTAAATTCAACTGACGATAGTCGTGCACAATTCGCCATCCGACTGGTTTCTTCACACAGAAAGTCGGTGCACAAAACGCTGACGTACTCGGTCGAATGATGCCAGCTTGAACCATCTCTTTGGTCCATTCCTGTATCGTTTTCTTCTGATCAGGACTTTGGCGCCATTGTTTCACCGAAATAGGCGAAGTATCAGGCTTGAGCAGAATCTCATGCTCAATTCCTTCACGTACTGGGGGTGTCTCATTCGGAAGTTCCGTGCGAAAAACCGTATCCGCATACTTACGTAGCGTATCGTACGCCGGATTGTCCTTGAGAGCATCCCATCCTTGACTCTTGAAGCGTTCCGCCTTCTCCGAGTCATGCGGATTAATAACAAACACCGCTTCGATGTCCTTGTCCCTACGCAACATTTGCTGGAACTGGTTGGACGAAAATACCTTCGTTCGTCCAAACTGGCCGTTGTGGCCATGCTGCCGATAGTAGCTGTAGATCTCACGGCTCTGCGCAATTTTTACGCGGCGTTGTCCTGCCACCCAACGGGCTGGACGTGTCTTCGGCAGTCTCAACTTCACAGTCTGCGTGTTCTCCACGTTGATGCGAGGTGCAATCTGTCCAGTACTCCAGTCGATGTCCGGGTTCTGCTCCCGCAGCCACATCATGCCTAAAACTATGTCCTTTCTCTCAGGAACAGGCATGACTTGGAATGTTCCCGTTGTCAAGGGAAATCCTGGTAACTGTAGATACATCTCTACAGTCCGACGTGGACGATGCACAATCTGATCATAACTGAGATCAACTTGCATCATGTCACCTTCAGTTCTAACTCAAGCTTCATCACTAACTCCTCAGTTACGCCGTTCAGGCTACTGCCGTTGTCAATGAATATCGTGACGGGCCTCTCTTGGTCTTCCGTCTTGAATGCTCGAGCTTCAGCCTCTAGGATCGCATACACTGCGCCCTGCATGTACCGGTTTGCTTCCGTACGTTTTGGCTGCGTACAATCTGGAGAAATGTGATCAACCTTGTCACAACTTCTGC